AATGAGTGAATGCGATCCGCCCACTTGGATAGTGCACAATTAAATGAATGGAGGAAAATGCAGCTGCTGGAGATGCCAGTGGAGCGTGAGGACAGGAAAGTGTGCAGGGAACGCAAAGTGAGGACACAGGAGAACATCTTGAGGGTGATGGCAGAGCTGATGATGTGCCTAGTAGACTCAGAGGAGAGCCAGATGCTCAGACACCCCCTCTGGTCCATGCTCACCCACATTCCTTTCTCAGCAAGTTCCACACTCTCCTCTCCCACATGCCCTAGAACGTGGGGGGTGGGGAGGAGAGTAAAGGGCAGCCACTCTCCTCTCTCACATGCCCTAGAATGTGGGGGGTGGGGAGGAGAGTAAAGGGCAGCCTCACACTCAGTCTCCATGGATGTGCCCTGGAACAAAAGGCTGTCATTCTCACATTAGTGCAATATGCCACTTTCCCTTATCCTCCCCAAAGCTCTCGCCCTGAACTCCTTTTCTATCCCTACTTCCTTGCTTTCCCTTTAACAATGCATGGTTTCTCAGCAACTGTATGTTTATTGCTTGTGTTTCATAGGTGAAGGGAGGGTTTACAGGCAAGCACACTTAATGCAGGGAGCACCTTATTTAGAGCAACATGCATGATTTTCATATTGATGTCTGGCCATTCACAAAGCTGTTTTTCAAAGCCTCCCTGATTTGCAGTGACCCTCAAGGTGCTTGCTTTATTGCCCTGGTGTCTGGCTGCTCATAATTAGTGGCTAGGTGCTGTGCCTCAGCCCCTTGCCCCCAGTATAATATTTCCCCCCTTACTATAAAGTGCTACCAGTCCATTTGTTGTTTTTTCTGTAGCAGACTAACTCGGCTACCCCCTGATGCTCCTTACTACGGTCCAGCATGCCTGTATATGGCTTCATGAGCCACAAAAGCAAGAGGTAGGCTGGGTCGCCAAGGATCACTATTGGCATTTCAGTGCCTCCAATGTTAATTTTCTGGGTTGGGAAGAAAGTTTCATCTTGAAGTTTTCTGAAGAGACCAGAGTTCCTAAAGATGCACATGCATCATGCACCTTTCCTGATCATCCCACGCTGAGTTCAGTAAAATGGTCATTGTGACCCACCAGTGCCTGCAACACCATCAAGAAGTAACCCTTGTGGTTTATGTACTCTTTGGCAAGGTGATCTGGTGCCTTCTATCTATCGCTCCATCCACAGTTAGAGACCCACATTGCGGAAAGCCATCCACTATGTGCTGCATATGTTTCCCAGAGTCACTGCTCTTCCTAGAAGGAAGGAATCGATTGCTTTGGCTACTTGGACCACAGCAGTATCCACCATGGATTTCCTCACTATGAACTGACTCCTAACTCACTGGTTGCTGTGTCATGTTGCAAGTTTCCACAGGGCTATTGCTACTCACTTCTCAACTGTCAGAGCAGGTATCATTCTGGTATCGCTGCACTTCAGGATGAGGGAAAGCAAGGGCACCATTTTGGGGGGGGGGGCAGCAGCCATGCACTCTGGGATGCAGCTTGCTTTTTATCCCATTCCCCCACCAGCCAGGTGTGAGAGGCATGCACAGAATGCAAGTATTTTCCCTTCACTCCCTGATAGTTTGGGTAACGGGATGAAAAGCAAGCTATGCCCCGGAGCACATGGTTGCTGCTCTCCTACCCTCCTGAAATGGTGCCCTTTGGGGAAAGCAATTCACAAAGTTCCATGAAAGTGGCCTTACACATGTGAAAGTTTTGTGGCCACTGCTGATCATCCCATAGCTGAATAACTATGCAGTCCCACCAGTTTGTGCTTGTCTCACAGCTCCCGAATCCTGTGTCAAAAGGATTGAAAGCCGCCAGCATCTGCCAATTGCCCAACTCAAGTGCTTTACACAAATGTCTGTTCATGGCCTCCTCAGATTCTTCCTCATTCCCACAGGCTAGGGACTGGACAAACTGCAGCAAAAAGGTGCAAGATGTTTGCTAGGATTGCCATAGCACTTTGCTGCTGAATGGAGTTGCCCTGCTATAGCATCTGCATGGATAACCATAGGAAAAAGGGCATGAAATGGTTGTTTGCCATTGCTTTGAAGCAGGAGGGAGAGGGAGGAGATGAGTGCATCATAGGATGATGACAACATGTACCCAGCACTACCCACTGCACTCTTTTGGTCCCATCAGGCACTGAGAACATAATCCAGAATGCAAAGAGGCAGCAGGAACTGTGGAATAGCTGCCCACAGTGCATCTCTGTCAAAACTGACAGTAGCCACCCTACTAGGGATGCACTACAGTGAATTCTTGCGCACGGTGGGGACATGCACCTTCGACTTTACAAAATCGGGTGTTAAAAAAATCAACTTTAATAAATGTGAATTTATCTCAGAATGTAGACATGGCCATGGAATCAACCCAGGATGTCATTGGAGTACAAGCGCAACTGGAAGTGAATAGCCACTACCTGCTCAATCGCTTTATTGGCAAAGGAATAAGTTAGACTTTGGGATACCTGGCACTCACACCAGTGTCAATGAATGGGTCCTTGAGGAGGGACAGCCTCTGCATGTTTGAGGATAGTAAATTTCCTCATTAAACAGACATTAAATAATTCCTATTGCCAACAATAACGAATGGCTCCCACAGCTGCTCCACTTGCTTTATGCAACCAAGATGGACAAGGTTTGGAATCACAGATGGTGAGAGTCAAAAAAGAACATGAGCATCAGTGGTGAAAGTAACTTACAATTTCTTAGAGGTATTGTTCTGTTGCAGCCTAGGTCCCTGCCAGCTTTTCAAATAGCTCCCTGCTGGCTTTTGTTGCAGCTCAGCCAGCTCTTGCCAGAGCTGTGCACCTGCTTACTTTCACCTGTGATGGACATCCTACTTCAGAGGCTGCTTGTCTCCCTGTAGCATACTGCAGCAGCTGTGATTAGTGCCTGAGATGGAGCTGCCTCAATATAAAAGTAGGGGCAGCTGGCAGACAATTCTCTGTGAGAGGATGCCAATGGACCTTCCCCTGAATGGTAAGTGCAAGAAACTGTTGTCCTTCAGGGTATTCTGCAAAGTCTCCCTCCTTCCCCGAGAGGAGAATAAAGGCCAGAATTTGTAGTTGTGGTTATATAGTGGCAGGGTGTTGTTTGATTGCTTGGCTGGCTGATTACATTATTTTCTGATTTGGGGGAAACTACTAAGGTTTGCATCATTAAATTTTAATTAAGAATTGTGTTAAAGGTGCCTACATTGAGACTTTTCAAAGGTGATTAGGGGATTTAGCTCCACAGCATCCCCTAATCTACTTTCAAAATCTCAAACCTATAGTCTAGAAAAAGTACTTCCGGATGCCCCTTTTTGTTAGATATCTAAATACATCTATGCTGCTTCGATATCATTTTGAAAAGAAACATTATATTAGTGGAGAACAAAGCATAAAAAAAGCGATCTTCAAGAATCTGGACCCTGGGAAAGCAAAGCCCTTAAACTGAACTTCACAGCTGTGAGCAGTTTCAATGAAGTCAGCAGGCAACTCACCTGTGTAAATATTCACAGGATCAGGACCTCAGTCCCCATAAAGTCAGCATTCAGAGAAGAGGCAGCTCAGCCCATTTTATCTCTGGCTAGGTCTATACTACAGGGTTCTTGTGCAAAAATCTGCAAAGCGTCCACACCTCAAGCGTGTTTTTGTGCTAGAAAATTTACAGTAAAATGGCAGAACAGAGGGCTTTTTGCAGTGCAGGTATACCTCTTTCTATGAGGAATAACTCCTTTATACACAAGAACTCTTGTGCAAAAAGGTGTGTGTGGATGCTCAATGGGGGTTTCCTGTGCAAAAAGAGACTATCAGAAAAAGCACGGGTGCTCTAATGGCCATTCTGTGAATGGCAATCAGAACTTTCTTGTGCAAGAGCATCCATGCAGTGTGGATGCTCTCTTGCACAAAAGCACATTGCTTTTGTGATGCTCTTTTTGAGGTGTGGACACACTTTTGTGCAAGAAGTTTTTGCGGAAGATCTCTTCTTCAAAAAGCTTCTTGCGTAAAAACCCTGCAGTGTAGACAAAGCCTCTGAGAAAACATGTCACTTTTGAAATCAAATTCTACATATTGGAGGATGCAAACTTGGCCAACATTGTGTTTGGTAAAATTATTAAGAAAAATATTTTGCATTATTATGGATACTAGATTATTAAGTAGACCACATACCTTGCACAATACATAAAAACAGTTTCAAAGAGCCTACAAACTAAAGAACAGACACAAAATGTGTATGGGGGTGTTGAATGGTACTAGTATGCATGTCCAATATCAGTGCTGGAGTGGCTGTCAGTGTATTTATGTGTTTTGCTACATCTGTGGCCTCAGTGTGTATGTGTATTTAGATCTGTGTATTTGCTGTTGATATGTATCATGTCCGTGCATGTCACTGTATTGTATTTACTGTTTGTGTCTCCTCTGTATTTGCTGTAGATGTGTAATGTATACTCTCATGCGTGAGACTATATTTGATGCCTGTGTTTGTTGTCAGTGTACTCTGTTTCATAGCATGTACGTACTGTATTTTTTAGTTTGCTGCTGGTGTGTGCTTGCTCTCTGTATGTGAGGGTGTGTGTGTGTACTCTGTATGTTTTTGTTAGCAGATGTGTGGGCTGAGTACTTGTGCTCCAATATCTGTCAATGTGTATGTTGTTAGCACTTGCTCTCACTGTGTAGGTTTTGTGTGTGACTATCTCAATGTGCGTTTTCCCTGTGTGTGTGTGTGTGATCTCAATGTCTGAGATAATCCGCCTCTGTCTTCTAGTACGTGTTTGTACTCAGTGTGGCTCTTTCCGTGTGTGTGTTTGTACTCGGTGAGTGTTGCTTGTCCGAACACCTCTCCAAGCAGTGAGTGCTTCTTTCCCAAAGTTAGGTAACAGGCCTAGTTCTTTGCAGCCTGGTTGGCTGCAGCGGGTGCGATCAGCCAATCCTGGCGGGCGGCCCGGCCCGGCCCAGCCAGTCAGGAGGCCATTTCCACCAGCGGCCAGCTGGGCGAGGAGCGGAGCGAGGACTCGAAGGCGGGCAGGGCCGGGTCAGCTTGGGACAGGCTGGTTCTCTCGCTCCTCTGCCCAGCTCAGCCAATCCCGCATCGGCCGCGGCCGCAGCCTCTCTCGTGACTCCCATTAGAGCCGCCAGTGGCCCTGCCCCGGCGATCTGCACCCAGCGGGCCCCTCCAGGACACGGCATGTCCGGCTGCAACAACCTCGGCGTCCCGCCTGCCATGGACTTCCCCGAAGTGCTGAAGTCGCTGCTGGAGTACTCCTTGCCCTGGGCCGACACGCGGGAAGGTAGGCGGGGGTCCCTTCCTGCCGGCGCCGGGCTGCGCCACCCTAGGAGAGGGCGAGGTGGGAGAGTCTCCTGGCCAGACAGATCGCCAGTTCTGGGAACGGGGCGCAGCTGCCAGCGAGCCTGGCGGGCTTTGCGCGCAGGGAGGGTTGGCAGCAGAGCTCTCCGCGGCAACAGGCGCAAATCCCCTGCCCTGGTTGTTCTGATTCATCAGAACTGCCGCGCCTCCGGTGCTGTTCTCCCGCTCCCCCCGCTCCGCGCAGGGGCTGGGGGTAGTCACCCTGGGATGTTTGTGGGGCACCTTTGTGTCTGGTGCGGGGGTGACGATGCAAAGCTGGCAAGGAGCAAGACCCACGATGTCCCACCCTGTACCCAAGCAGCCTCTTCTCTTCGGGATGTTCCTTCTTGCTGGGATCCTAGGTCTACACCACACTACATGCAAAAGACCTTAGGTTCTCTAGCAGCGGTTCTCAAACTTTTTGGGCTCCGGAGCCCTTTACAGGCGTAAATATTTATGCGGAGCCCCACAGCAGTTCACTGATTGTATGTGGAGCCCTTTACAGGCGTAAATATGTATGCGGAGCCCCACAGCAGTTCACTGATTGTATGTGTTGTACCTATTGATGTTTCCAGTTTGTCAGCCTCTTGAGCCCTGGGGCTCTGCGGAGTACAGTTTGAGAAACACTGCTCTAGTGCAAAGTCCTATCCTTCCCCGGCTGTGCTAAGCACAAGCTTGATGGAGCCCCCGTTGCTTGATACACTCTGAGGACTGGGGAACCACTATACCCAGGAACCTTCCCATTTTCCGAAGGGACAGTCCCATGTTCCTTGCAGGCTGCTTGGTGGAAGTTGTTTGTTTTATTTTTAACTCTTTCATGGTTGAGCAGGGACGCACGTGGGTCTGCCATGGCACACCTCAGTCCTGTTTGGACATGTCTCTCCTTACTGAGTAGACTGATGTTCATTGAGCTAAATGTTCTTAGCAAACTGCTACCAGGACACAGATTTGGTTATGTGGCAGCATAAAGAACTAACAAGGTTACAGGAGAGATGCACCAGAAAGCCATTAATCTGAGATCTCTTAGCCTAGAAGAGAGACTGATTGGATGTAAGTGTGTGTGGGGCGAGGGGGGGAGAATAGTAAGTGGCTTATGGCACAGAACAAAGACAGCTGAAGATTTCATAAGAGTCCCTATGGCATTAGGAAGATGGGTGATGACGTGGAAGAGATTAATGTAGGTCCACTGGTCACCTCCCTGATGAGATTCATTTTGTCAACTCCCTATAACATAGTCTTTGTGGTGTTGCCAATGAATTCATTCCCTCCCTTGTTGGGATCTTGTACAGTAACCAGACAGTTATATAATACGGAGCTGGACGGCTGGTCCTGGGTGTGTTTTCATGTTATCCAGTGTCACGGTGGAAAACTGCCTGGGAAGGGGGGGGAGGTGAAGTTGTGGCAGAAATGGGAAAGCAGTGTCATTAGTGCAAGTGCCTAGATGTTGCTCTGGCCAAGCTTGAAATAAGTAGGCTCCTTAGATAGTTGGTATCCAAACTCAGTGGAGTGAGGCAATTGTATGGAATCCATTCAGCCTAAGAGAACTGTGCAGAATTTGTTGAGGGGGCTAGAGAGGAAATTATATGATTATTGAAGGGAAACATTTGGTCTTAATCAAATGTGACTTTGGCTGCATGGTACCATGACAGCTCCCTCCTTTTACCTGGAGACAGCCCTACATGCAAAGTTTCATTTAGTTCTTAGTTCCCTATTAGTAAATTTCCCTGCCAGACCCAGCCTTTCCAATCTCCTTTGATAGTGACTGTCATCACTCACCCCTTCTCCATTTTACACCTACACTGCAAACCTTTTAGCGGTGTTGATTGTGTGCGCACACACCCTACTTGGTTCCAGGCTCCTTATTACACATCCTCCCACCACATCAGAGCTGTGTTTCTCCTCCCTTTTTGGAGCTGAATTTCCCCATCACAAACTGCCCAATATAAAAGCAAAGTCCACTAATTCCCATCTTGCATGCTCCAATTCTTGGTACCAGAGCTTAAGAGAAACTGACAATTACATTTGCAGAATCCAAATAAATCAGGAGGGTGCCAGTGATGTTCTAGTTCAGTGACCTATTACACCCTCCATTTTATTCCATTGGTGACTAGACTTTGAGTATGTAATCCCAGGAAGAATTCAAGGAAACTTTCCCGAATCAGCTTCTCGTATCACTGAGGAAAAGCCAGCCACTTGACATTCATGCAGAGCTGTGTGAAAGATCCCATAAGAGGATCCCTGCAAACTTGTGTAAAGGCCTATGCAAAAAATCTTTGTGTAAACACTCCCTGTGCACCGCCACATTCCTGTGACTCAAAGCTAATCCTAATGTTCAGCATCTGCTAAAATCATCTGGGAGTGAGCCCGGGAACAAGGTCAGTTTGAGGCACAAGCTCTGCAAGTGCTTGTCTGAGGCTCTGCACTCTTGGGGATCTTCGAATATTTCCATTTGAAGAATAGGCCTAATCATCCCCATTAGCAGAACTGGAAGAGCATGGAAATCTTCCATCAGACCAGATTCCACTTTTTGTCCAATTCAGTGCTGCAGTAGTATAGATTCCTTGCAGATCATAAAATCAGCCTTACCAGGGAAACCACAATATGGAGCCAAAAGGAGGGAAAAAGGCCTGAAGACTGTAACCTTGTGACACACAAATCTTCATTTCCCCTAAGAGATTCTTGCTTCTTTCAATCTTCCTAGGCAGTGTTCTCTTCTTAGTAGGAGGGAAGTTAGCAATGGTGGAAACTTTATTTACAGTCCAGTTGCCCTACATGGAGCATGATGCTCTGAATGTGGAGGATTTATTATGCATTTCATTGTCCCTTGCTGGATAGAACATATTAAATCTTCTTATCTGTGTATTTCAGTCTTCTACCAACTAAGCTAGAGGAGATTTGTGCACTAATTGCCTGCTATTTTGAATCTGTAGAGGGCATATATCAGTTCATCATCTATCTTCTATTATTTTAGGTGGTGGGGTTTTTTTCACTGTGCCCATCATCAGCTATCCCAATGTCTTCCAGTGAGTCATTGAGCAACATGAATAAGCATTGTCATGTGTTATCACTTCTCCATTCCTCTCCCTAGGGCATGGTTGAGGAATTTTTTGTATTTTGATGTACTGTGACTTGGTATTAGTGAAGGTCAGGTCAATGAAAATTTATCTTGCAAGTGGGACAGAAAGTGATGAAATCTGAGATTTCTAAGATTCTGTAGGAGTGAGTTCCATGGTCATGGACTGACCCATAAAAATGCATAAATCATTGTGGTAGATATGTGGTGTCCAACCAGCTCTGAAGCCAAGATTGTGGCTACTGCTATAGTGAACAAGCCACATTCAATGGGCCAAATAACCACAAGTATGTTGGAGACCATGGTAGATAATGGCCCCTGTTCTGGAGAAGTGCAGTTCTCTGATTTATGGAAATGGCTCTTAGCTATGGGATGGACATGTGCCTCACTGTCCTCCACTAGTTACAATATATTATGTACAGGCAGTCCCCGAGTTACACGGATCTGACTTATGTCGGATCTGCAGTTACGAACAGGGCTTTTCTCGCCCCGGAGGACGGGAGCGGTGGGACGCCCAGATGTGCCGCGGTCCCGCCGCCCACGTCCTCCGGGGCGAGA